CACTGCTTCTCTGGGTAGGGTCCCACATTCCGCTCTTCTCTGTTGATGATCCCAGGGACCTTTGCTCCTGGACTACAGTCAACCACTCCTTTTGTTTTGCTACAGAATGTCTACCTTTACATTTCCAACTCTCACAGTAAGTCCTGATAGCAATCATTCACTATAGTGCCACATGTGCACCATCCCCAACTCCTTCCATCAGCCCCACCCAGACAGATTGTCTAATACTCTGGGGATGATTCTGCCTTCCTCTGAACTCTCTGGATCTAGGCTCCCTCTTGAAAGGTTGTAAGCCAGTCACTTCTTGCCTTTGTAGCCCCCCCATTTTGGGTAGCCAATGTCCAAGTTGCCCATCCCTGTCTACCCTTGGATCGAGGTGGTGGGAATGATCCTCACTGTAATGATTTGCTCCCTCTTTTGAGCTACTGCATCCATAGGTGTAGGTCAAGTTCATCAAATTACATCAGATTACTCTTTTTCTTTCCTCTTCTTTCTTCTTAGAGTTGAATTCTGATCATCTGGCCATTAAAGCCAGGTCAAGTAGGTATTATCTGCAAGTGTGGGTGTTCTTGTACATATGCTCTCCTTCTTATCTGCTGGACACTTCACTCTCCACTCTAGTCCTCTGTGGCTATGCCACTGACTCTAGGCCAAAGAGTCCCCAGGTCTTGCCACACTGCTGGCCAACCAGGTCTCTACCCGTGTTCACAGGAGTCTATTGAATGTGGTAGGGCTTAGCTTGCTGCTTCATTGCTGTTTTTTCCTCACTTCCCCTTATCGGTGACCAACGTGGTCACCAGTCAGAGTGCATGTCTACTCCAGTATTCCCATTGGGTCTTAGTCTTGGAAGGGGTTTTCCCTGAGGGGACCCTACCACTTGCCTTGATGTCTCCTGGGCGAGCAACTTGCTTATTCTTGTAGTAGTCAGTTGGACTGCCATTATTGTTTTGTATTTTTCCTGTAGGTCTTTCTTTCAAGAATTATCTTCTGTTATTTTAGCGGTTGAGAATTGCATCCCGAGAGGGCAAGCTTAAAGCCCTCAACACATGTACTTCTCACATCTGTGCTGTTTTAATTTTGTATGTACCCATGATTGGACTGTCCATTGTCCATCGTGTTGCCAAACATTCTTCTCCCCTCATTCACATCTTCATGGCTCATATCTACTTATTGATTCCACTTGTGCTGAACCCAATCATCTATAGTATGAATACAAAGCAGATCCGCCAGGGAGTCCTCCATCTGTTTTTCAAAACATCTTCATAATAGAATGTTCTTACATGTTTTATCTTATTCTAATAAATGTCAAGCAGAAACTGTGACTCAGTTTGTAATTTTCAAGTTTTAGTGCTATGCTGTGTTTAAAAGAGGGACATGATAAAAATAATGGAGAGCATAGAGATAAATTAATCAATTAGTGAATAAAGAATGACTTATTTGGAGATGAAAAATAATCTCAGAAGAAGAGTTTTGACATGCCACAAGCCTACATATTATCCAATGAGAAAAATCTAACCCACTGCTGTCTAGTCAATTGAAACTTATAACAACTCTTTAGAACACAATAGAATTGTCCTATAGGGTTTTCAAGATTACAAACCTTTAAGAAGCAGATCATCATAATTCTTTCCTTGGAGCAGTTAAGTGTCTCAACTACTGTGACACAAGGTTTCCTAAAAGAAATCTTACTGATAATTGTTGTTGTTAAGTGCCATCGAGTCAGTTCCCACTCACAGAAACCCTGTTTAGGGTTTCTGAGGAGCAGCTGGTAGGATTGAACTGTTAATCTTGTGGTTTGCAGTCCAGTGCTGATCCTACATTGCCACACTAGACCTTTAAAATTTCATACACATTATGTTTACCTAGAAAAACCTTGTCTTTTTACTGCTTTTAATTCAACTGAATCTGATTCCACTACTCTTTATTTCATTTATTGGTTCTACATCTTATTACCTCTTCATTTCAACACATTTACTTTGACCAAAGAGAGATCAACTAAAAATAATGGAGGGTATATCAAAATCAAGAAGAGGAAAACCCTTATTGTGATAAATAGGTTAAGTAACATTGATAGGAAAATACATATTGAGAAAGATATAAAATTAATGTTTTCAAGCAAGTCTTTAGTTTTCAATCAGCTAATATTAGTTTCAGCTGCATAAAACAAAACAAAATAAATAAAATAAAAATATTTATAAAATATTTTACTAACTGTGCATTTTAAAGCCAATTCCCATCATTAATAAGATCTCAAGATTCAATCCCATTCCTCATACAGTCACACATTCAGAAAAGTATGATATGATCTATAAGTTAATAAATTATCTGAATTACATAAATGTTTTTTACAGGATGTTTTTCTGGGGAAATACAATTTGGCCATGAAAATCTGGAAAAATTGTGGAATATATATGATATTTTTGGTACTACTATCTCATACTCAGCACTATATGATGTGATAAAATGCTGCACCTTGTTATTAGTACCCTACTCAAATGAAGATGGACATCATGTAATAATGCAGTTCACTTATTTATGAGATACATTGAGATATAATTTGTGTCTCTGGTTTTTACCAAATAAACCTGAACTATTATTATCATGCACAAATGTGCTTATCAGACGTTTTTAAAGTGTTGAAGAGCAAAGATGTCAGCTTGAGGACTAAGGTGTGCATAACCCAAGCCATGGTATTTTCAATAACCTCATATGCATGCATAAGCTGAACAGTGAATAAGGAAGACCCTAGAATAATTGATGCTTTTGAGTTATGGTGTTGGAGGAGAATATTGAAAGGACCATGGGCTGCCAAAAGAACCAACAGATCTGTGTTGGAAGAAGTACAACCAGAGTGCTCCTTGGAGGCCAGGATGGCCAAACTTCATCTCTCATACTTCTGACATATTGTCAGAAGGGACCAGTCTCTGGAGAAGGATATCATGTTTGGTAAGTTGTAGGGTCAGAGAAAAAGAGAAAGACCCTCAGCAAGATGGATTGGAAAAGTGGCAGCAACAATGGGCTCAAGTGTGGCAACAATAGTGAGGTTGGCCCAGGATCGGACAGTGTTTCGTTCTGCTGTGAAAAGGATTGCTATGAGTCGGTACTGACTAGATGGTACCTAACAACAGCAACCACAACAGCACTTATCATATACTTAGAAATAAATAACGGAGTTCAATCTAGAAATCATTCTCATTCTCATTATCTATAATTCTAGGTTTCATAATCAATGTATAAAATATTCTTTTAACTGTGAGTCTTACTTAGATGTACTATTTCATCCTTAGGGCTGACATTTTTCCTGTTAGAGTCTCACCAGAGTTACTTTCTTTTGTGACCTTCTACCAATTTTAAAGGTCCAGAGCCATCCTAGACAATAGATTCTATTATTTAACTTCATAGTTATATCTGTTTTATCTTCCTGAATTATTTCCTGTTTCCCCTGCCCCCTTGTTATTTAGCTAATCCAAATACTGACTGTGAGGTCTCAGGTCTAAAAGAAGCCACACAACAGTTATAATATCCAAAAGACACTGAGCTATTCCCTGAGTGTGTGGTTTTTTTATATATAGATATGGATGTATCACACAGACATAGGTGTGTTGGGATGTTTGCCTGTATCCATGACTGTGTGTGTGTGTGTGTCTATCACAAGGTCAGGAGTTTGAAACTACCAGCTGTTCCGCAGGAGAAAGATGAGGCTTTCTGCTCCCATAAATATTTACAGCCTCGGAAACCCTGTACAGGGTCGTTATGAGTCGGAACCGACTCCACGGCACATAACAAAAACAACAGGCACAAAAAGTCTAACTTTACTACTAATTGGATGTTCCAAAAGATGTGGTTTCCTTTTAAATCGGATTCTGTTTTACCCATAAATAGCTAATGTGATCATACTATGTTTCCAAGGAGCAACTAGTGAGTTTGAACTTCCAACCTTATGGTTAGCAGTCAAGTCTTTATCACACAATGTTACAACAGAACTCCATAGGTACAGTAAACTGATTCTGTCAAATGTTAATCTAAATATTAATAAAATTTAATGATTCAACAGTTTCATTATTTCTAGTTTAAAATGCATGCCAAGTATACTATCTTATGTTAAAAATTTTGTAAAATTGTGTGATGTTAATTTGTTATTGTTGTTGTGAGCTATTGAGTTGGTACAGACTTACAGCAATCCTGTCCATATAGTATTTCAGAGAGTGGCTGGTAGACTTGAAAGGTCAATCTTTCAGTTACCACTCCAGGACTTTTATCTTACAGCACCATATAATACAGGATATAATTCTCTTAAAATTCACACACACACAAAAAAAGAGTATAATATGTACCTAAATTAAAGAGGAATTAAATAATGTGTCAAATGTAAAAATGTTCTGATGCCATTTAGTTCATGAAGTTTTTCCTAAGCTGGAGTCCTGGTATGACACTGTAGGATAAGGTACCAGATTGTCAGCAGTTCAACCCATAAGCCACTCCTCAGAAACCCTACACAGGGTTGCTATGAGTCAGAACTGTCTTGATAGCACTTAACAGCAACAATAATTTTATGATCTTCAAAGTTAGATTACAGCTGGCAGTCCTTTCCTTTGAGATCTTATGAACTATTGTGGTAATAGAAGGAACAGTTAGGATAATCAAGGGGAAATTGCCCTTCTAGTTAAATCCCCCTATGAGTGAAACTGTGGTAGCAGTTTCTGTGACCATACATTAACTCCCTTCAGGAAATAACAGAGACTCCCAGAAGTATAGTTAAATATGCAAACCCCATGTGCCTATTACTATGTGTGCTTCTACATAAAGCTCCTTGCTTTCTGGACATTTAGAACTAGAAATTCTACTTCTATGCAGCAGATTTTTGCCCTATAGACTAAATAATCAGTAAAGTAATATATAGACTCTTCAATATTCTGAGTTTATGGCACTTTTAGAAGTTTGAGAAACTTTAAGTTCTCCAACTGAATAGCATCTCTCTAGAAATACTTTCATTACTCTAGATGACCTCCATCTCCAACTTCAGTGATTCCAATTTTGTTCTTACTGGTTTTCCTGGCCTAGAAGTTAACTACATCTGGATCACCATCCCTTTTTTCTCCATTTATGTCATGGTGTTTCTGGGAAATTGCATGGTGCTTCATGTGATAAGGACTGAGCCAAGCTTGCATGAGCCCATGTTCTACTTCTTGGCCATGCTGGCCCTTACTGACCTGTGCATGGGGTTGTCCACAGTGAACACAGTGCTGGGGATACTGTTAGGTCTCATTCAAGAGATCAGCTTGGATTTCTGCATTGCACAGTCCTATTTCATCCATGGTCTATCCTTCATGGAATCCTCTGTCCTTCTTGCTATGTCTGTTGACCGCTACATTGCCATTTGCAACCCATTGCGCTACTCTTCTATCCTAACTAATGACAAAATCATGAAAATTGGGATTGCCATTTTAGGTAGGAGTTCTTTACTTATACCTCCAGCCATCATCCGCCTGAAGTTCTTAAATTACTGCCGTCCACACATTCTTTCTCACTCTTTCTGCCTACACCAAGACTTACTTAGAGTTACCTGTTCAGATATCCGTTTCAATAGTATCTATGCTCTGTTTCTGGTCATCAGCAACCTGTTGTTGGATGCAATTCTTATACTTATCTCCTACATCATGATCTTGCATACAGTCTTAGCTATTGCATCCAGAAGGGAGAGGATCAAGTCCTTGCAGACTTGTGTATCTCATATCTGTGCTGTTTTGGTTTTCTATATCCCAATTATTGGCCTGACCATGGTGCACCGCTTTGGGAAACACCTTTCTCCTTTGGTTCATGTTCTTATGGGAAACATCTACATCCTTTTACCACCCTTGATGAATCCTGTTATTTATAGTATCAAGACTCAAAAAATACGAAGAAGAATCCAGAGACTGTTTTATTTAAAAAGTACTCATCTTCCCAGAGATCAGATGTGACTAATTTAAAAGTCAAAAGTATAGTTCCAAGGGGCCAATGTGTATACACATTTATGTGTATGTATATATATTGTTTTTAAATACATTGTGTAATTGTATTTGTTTTCAATACATATTGCTGAAAAGCAGAGCAAAAGTTAGATGTTAGACCTCACATATGAGGGGGTGATCAGACCTTCTGAAGTAGCTTATCTCCACCTGGAAGACTTCTAATAATTTGAAATAAGGAAAATTTACAAGATGGGGACCATCAGACGAAAGGTTTGCAAGATTATTTTTATTTAAAATAAAGGCAGTTGGGGACAATATCTGCCATTTGTGGTCAAATAGACAAAATTTTATTTAAGAATGATATTGCCAGCAGTTTTCTTCTTTTGTAATAACATAATTTCAAATTGGTATGGTCATAAAATTATTTAGGAAGGGTAGCTTCTTCAATATTTTATAGCATTCATATGATTTCCAATTAATGTTTGGCTGTATCCACCAAGGAAATTCATATTGACCTGGTAAATCTCTGGTAGAGAGTTTTCAATTCTGATTTTTCTAGTTGATATACACCTGTTTGGATTATCTGTTTTTCTGGAATAAGATTTGCTAGTTCATATATACCAACAAAATGCTTATTTTATCTGTTATCTAATTCATTGGAACAAATTGTATCATAATACACCTTAAATATGCAGTTGGCAATTTGCATCTTTTATTACTGCATTCTTATCTGTTTAGCTAAAATTCACAATTTATACTGATTTTTTAAAAAGAACCATCTCATTTTATAATTCACATAAATTCTAAGTTGTTGCTATTGTTAAAAGTCATCAAGTTGGTTCTGACTCATAGTGACCCTGTAAAGGGTTTCTAAGGAGTGGCTCAGCAGTCAAGAGATCAGACGACGTATTGCATTGGGCAAATCTGCTGCACAGGAACTTTTTAAAGTATTGAAGAGCAGAGATGTCAGCTTGAGGACTAAGGTGCGCCTGACCCAGGCCATGGTGTTTTCAATAGCCTCATATGGATGCGAAAGCTGGACAGTGAATAAGGAAGATGGTAGAAGAATTGATGCCTTTGAATTGTGGTGTTGGAGGAGAATACTGAAAGTGCCATGGACTGCCAAAAGAACCAATAGATCTGTTTTGGAAGAAGTGCAGCCAGAGTGCTCCTTGGAGGCCAGGATAGCTAAGCTTCATCTCTCATACTTTGGACATATTGTCCGGAGGAAACAATCACTGGAGAAGGATGTCATGCTGGGTAGGGTGGAGGGTCAGAGAAAAAGAGGAAGACCCCTAACGAGATGGATTGGCCAGGTGGCATCATTGATGGACTCAAGTGTGGCAGCGGTAGTGAGGTTGGCCCAGGATCGGACATTGTTTCGTTCTGCTGTGCATGGGGTCGCTATGAGTCGGTTCCGACTTGGTGGCACCTGACAACAACAACAAGAAGTGGCTGGTGAGCCTGAACCACTGACCTTGCAAATGTGTATAATATGTAAAAATTAAAGGATTACATTAATCACTGTCTATAAGGAGCTCTGGTAGCATAGTGGTTACGAATCGGGCTGTGAACCTTAAGGTCAGCAGTTCGAAACTACCAGCCGCTCCGCGGGAGAAAGATGAGGCTTTCTACTCCCGTAAAGATTTACACCCTCGGAAACCCTGTATAGGGTCGCTATGGGTCGGAACCGACTCGATGGCACTTAACAACAACAACAACAATAACCGTGTTATAACCTAGGCCTAAAACTGAAGGTCAAATTACAAAATCAAGTTTATGGGGAATATTTAAAGCATAATAACAATCATACAGGAAATAAAAATCACAAACAAATTATATATGCGTATACATGAATACAAACATGTAAGCTTTTTCAAGACTGTATTTTACAAAGTACTTTTAAATTTATAGTAAAACCAGGGAGAGTATTAAGAGTTACCATATATTCTTCCTTCCCCCTCCACTTCTATTACTTGCATTTTTAATTCCTGTGGTATAATTATTATAAGTGATGATATGATATTGATATACTATTATTAATTAAGGGTTCCTGGTGTGGCCTTGGACTATGAAATCACAAGACTGACAGTTCAAACCCACCAACTGCTCATTGGAAACTCTCTACAGGGTCTCTATGAGTTAGAACTGACTCCACTGCACTTAACAACAGCATTATTATTAAAGTCCATATTTTGTATTAAGGTTCAGTTTGTGTTGTATGGTCCTTTGTTTTGACAAGTGCATATCATGTGTCCTCCATGAGAGAATCAAAGGTGCTCTAAAAATGTCCAGGTTCCATCTTTTCAAATCCTGCCATGAGTACTCTAAACCCCTGGCAACCGCTAATTGCTTTACTTTGTCAATCACTTTGCCTCTTCTAGAATTCCAGAATGTCATTTAGTTGGAATTACAGAGTGTATAGATTGTTTAACCTTCATACAATTTATTTCATTTTTATTAACTCAACAGCCTTAAGCATCTTTCATTATATCTAATATATACCTACCTTGGGAATATTCTGGATTCAATTCCATACCACTACAATAAAGTGGAAGGAGCTCTGATAGCGTACTGGTTACAAATCGGGCTGCAAACCGCAAGGTCAGCAGTTCGAAACTACCAGTTTTTCCATGGGAGAAAGATGAGGCTTTCTGCTCCCGTAAAGATTTACAGCCTTGGAAACCCTGTACAGGGTTGCTATGAGTCGGAACTGACTCCACAGCACATAACAACAACAACAATAAAATGAATATCATTATAAGGTGAGTCACATTACTTTTTATATTCCCAGAGCATATCAATGTTATATCTACATGATTCTCTAATCCATTGGGTATGCAATAGTTTTGTGAGAAAGTTTGAAATATTGGTAAAATTGCTAAAATCTGAGACAGAGACTGGCAGTGATCACAAGGTTTTGAAAAAATTGCACCAATACTCTTGCTCAAGCAGTGTTGCTATATTTTTTTTTCTTCCTTTTAAAAGAGGTTTATATTTTATTTAAGTCTTTGAAATACTGATCTAAAATTTAATAATCTACAACTTTTCTCTCTCAAAACTTCTCTAGCTAACATATGTTTCTCTTCTTAAGTGTTTTTATTTTATTTTTTTTAGTTTTTATTGTGAATTGAGTGATAGCCTACATGGTAGAATATCAGTTTTACACTCATCCTATCATATTTCCTTACATTGCAATGATTACAATCCCCTCCATGCATCATCATTCAACAGTATTTGCTTCTATTTTTTTCTGTTTTTCTTTTATTTTGGGAGGGGATGTACATCAAAACAATCAGGAATATATACTCATATAAATAACCAAAGAGCACATTTGGCAAGCCTACCTCTTGGATGCCAGCACACAGCTTTTTTCCTTCCATGAGTCTAGAGTTCTCAGCTACTCTACCTCTCCATGTCCTCATCTCTGCCTCCATTTCTGGTGTAGCTGCTTCTCTGGATAGGGTCCCATATTCCACTCCTGCTCCTCTCCCTTGATGGTCCTAGGGTCTTCTGTTCCTGAAATACAAGATTAATTATCCCCCCCTTTTAGTTACAAAATGTCTACCTTTACAGTTGTAACAATCATGATCATTTATGATAGCAATTATGCACTATTGAATCATAAGAATCTTATCCCCATCTCCTTTTACCAGACCCATCTAGACAAGATGAAAATGATTCAGTCAGGATTCGACCATCCCCTAAACATTCTGAAAGTAAATTTCTTGAAAACTTGTAAGCCAGTCACTTTGTGCCTTTATTACCCTTCCTCCCCCCCCCCATTTTAGGTAGCCAATGTCTAAGTTGCCCATCCCTATCAACCCTGTGTATAGAGGGGATGGTCATGATCCTTGCTGTGAAGATTCCTTCCTTCTTGGTTGGTATTTTAAGCTACTACATCCATAAGTATAGGTCAAGTTCATCAAATTGTAGCAATTTACACTTGTTTCCTTTATAAAAAAATTTTATTATCTTCCTCTAGTTGAGTTCTGAGCATCCAGCCATCAAAGCTAGATCAAATGGGTACTATCTGCAAATTTGGGCATTTTGTGCATCTTCCTCACTTAATATCAACTGGATGCTTCACTCTCAGCTCTAGCCCCTTGTGGCTATGTCCTTGTCCTTGGGCTCAGGAGTTTCTTGGTCTTACCATACATCAATCAGGCCAACCAGGTTTCATCATACTCCAGATCAACAGGAGTCTATGTAACGTGGTCAAACTCAGACCACCTCTGCATCGCTGCTTTCCCCCCACTTGTACTCATCAGTAGACAAGCATGGTCACTAGCAAGCTTACATGCCTGCTCATGCATTCCCTTTGAGCTTCAGTCTTAGATGGGAGTTTGTCCTGAAAGGACTTGGTTACTTGCCTTGATGGCTCCCCAGCAAATAGCTTGCTTGTTCTTGTGGTAGCCAATCAGACTGCCATTTTTGTTTTTGATTTTTTTTCTTGCTGGTCTTTCTTTCAAGAAGTATCTTCTGCTCCTCTAGCTGCTCCATGCTTGTCTGTTTGTCTTTTCAAGTGGGAATTTCCCATCTCAGAAGGTTCTGGAAGGGGATCAGGACTCCACCTAAGGTCTTATGCACTACAAAGGCTCTAGAAGGAGCCTCATTCACTAGGCAAGTTCTAGCACCTCTTTTCTCAGTTATAGGCCAAAGGTGGCTTTCAAGCTTTCTGTAGTCATGTTTCTGGATATTTCTTTCTATCCCCCTCAAGTGTCTACTTTCAATAGTAGGCAAGGGAAACCAAGATTCATAAGACAGTCAAAAATCTTAACATCATCTCCCCTTTTTTACCCATTCAGACAATACCTCAATCCCTATATCACAGAGCCCTGTTGTTCCAAGTTTGAGCATATATCACTATTTACCTCTGTCCCATTTAGCCCATGCAAACCTGCCTAAGTGTTCTCCTATCTACCTTGTTCTTTCATTTCCTTTCCCCTTCTTGTGTATTGCCCACCCTAACTCCTGAACTATGATGTGTCTATGCCCTACTCTGTGCT